AGGAGACACGGAGCCAGAGGTTGAGCTGCTGCGCGGCGTACCGGACCGCAAACGGCCACAGAAAATGGGGAGCCGCCGCATGGATCAAGGAGGTACGAGCGACCTCCATGACTAAGCCAATGCGGCGCTCAGCAACCCCATTTTGCAGCGGTGAGCCCGGAAGCATGAACGCCTGCTCGATGCCCTCCCCCTGACAGAAGGCCCGCAAGAGGTCGGAGGTGAACTCACCACCTCTGTCAGAGTGTAGACGCAGGACAGGAAGGTCCTGGCGGAACCTCCGGCGGAGCTGAAGACGAACTGCTCGGATCCAAGGGATCAGGACAGCAGGGACCTCACCCTTGGTGCGCAAGGGGAAGTCTGTGGTGTAACGCGAGTAGTCGTCGACAACCAGCAGAAATTACCGCTCACCGCCCTGTACACGAACGCGAGCTGGGCCCCACACGTCCAGGTGGAGGGTCTGCAGAGGAGCCTCTGTCGGGGGAAACGAGGAGGAGTGAGGAGCGGCGCGCTGCTGCCCCTCGACACAAGGAAGGCAGGGCGGCGCAGGGGAGGCAGGGAGGGGAGGGAGAGACCTGGGAAGACCAGACACTAGGAGGCGACGGTGCATGCCAGAGAGACGTGGCAAGGAGGGGTGACCCAGGCGGTGGTGCCAGAGAAGAGTCTGGTGCGACAGGGAGCGATACTCACAAGGGGAGGCTACGTGACCTGACGCACACACCTGACCAGTAGCAGCTACCTGAGGGGACGCAGTAGTCAGCGTGTAAAGACTCGACCCTGGCCGACGGGTGAACGTGGCCAGGTGACGGCCAGTCCGGGAGCACGTACAGATCGCCACACGCTGACCTCCATGGGTAAAGGTATCAACCCATGCATCCTGGATGACTGCGTTGCTCACCAGGTTCGTAGAGAACAAGGGGAGGTGAAGACCTGACAGTGAGCCAGACGGAACCGCCGGGCACGGAAGCACAGTGGAGGACCGTGCAAGAACTGGGCCCCCTGAGGGGTCAGCCAGAGACACTGCAACAGGTGCAGGGAGTGGCGTGAGTGCGGTACTGTCGCGAAAGAAACAGCGGGAAGCACCTGAGTCAAGCGTGAAGGTGTGCAAGGCCTCAGCAGGCGCAGTACCTGAGAGAGCAGACTCGCTAGCACCTAAGGCAGCAGCCTCACTAGCACCTAGAGCAGCAACCGCTATACCGGGGTCGTACTGCACACACAGGTAACAGTCACCCTCAGCACCACCAGGCAAAGCATACATAGCAGTAAGGATGGCGCCATAGTCCAAAGCAAAGACATCAACGCCCGACCTAAGCAGCTCAAGCCAGTGGGGGAGCTCAGCCTCGTCGCCAAACTCTGTGTGCCAGGCATCACTCAAATAGGCGAAGCAGCGGGACTGTGCGTGACTAGGTGTCCCACGGGTCTGACCAGCTCGACGACCTGTGCGAATGACGTACGAACATCGACCAGGACTCGGAGACGTCCCACGCTGGTAAAGCCACTCACGAAGCTGCTGGGACGTAAGAGTCGGACGCCGCCGAAGATGCATCTGGCCACCGCCAGAAACTCCGCACCCAACAGCGCCACAGTGACTGCTACTACAGCCGCCACCACTCCCACTGCTGCCACCACAGCCGTCACCACTCCCACCGCTACTACAGAGTGAAGTCATGGCGGGCAAGCTAGGAGGAGCGTGACCTCTAGGGCAGTACGGAGTGAAGGCAGTAGCACGAGGAGTAGCAGCAGCAGTAAGAGCAGCAGAGCAGCTCGGTGAAGCTAGGCTGCATCACCTCCAGCACTCCTAGCAGCACCTCCACCAGCAGCAGCAGTAGCACGAGCAGCAGGGCGGATCGATTCGGGTAGGGCGGCTCGGCTCGGCCTGGGTGGCGCGGGCAGCAGGGCGCGACGCGCGTGCTGCAGCAGGGCGCGACGTGCAGGGCAGCAGGGCGCGACGCGCGGGCTTCAGCAGAGCGCGACGCGCGGGGCAGCAGCGCGCGACTCGCGGGCTGCCGTAGGGCGCGACGCGCGGGGCAGCAGGGCGCTACGTGCGGGCTGCAGCAGAGCGCGACGCGCGGGGCAGCAGCGCGCGACTCGCGGGCTGCCGTAGGGCGCGACGCGTGGGGCAGTAGCGCGCGACGCGCGGGCTGCCGTAGGACGCGATGCGCAGGGCAGGGCGCTGGCGCAGGGCAGGGCGCTGACGCAGGGCAGGGCGCTGGCGCAGGGCAGGGCGCTGGCGCAGGGCAGGGCGCCGGCGCAGGGCAGGGCGCCGGCGCAGGGCAGGGCGCCGGCGCAGGGCAAGGCGCCGGCGCAGGGCAGGGCGTCGGCGCAGGGCAGGGCGCTGGCGCAGGGCAGGGCGTGCGCTAGGCATCGCGACGCGGGGCAAGGCAGGGCGTGCACAGAGGAGCGCGACGCGGGGCAGGGTAGGGCGTGCGTGGGGCAGCGCGACGCAGGGTAGTGGGGTAACGCGGTAACCGCAATCGGTCGCTAAGTATGGTGGGCCCGGAAAAAAAAAAGAATGGTCCTACGGACCTACTGCTCTGAAACCATGTCAAGATAGCAAGCAGGAATGAGTGCGTTGAATGAATGGTGGGTACAAGTACTAGCCCTAATATTGGGTTGTACCCCACATGGGCTACCCCACTATAGCCTACACACAACTAGCACAGATATGGTTTGACATTACATTCGTGGTGCACCTCATTCACTTGTCCCTTGCACTATATCTTGTATCTTTGCTCATTAGTGAACCACCTCTCTCTTTTGCTAAACTCTCTCGATACTCATGCTTGTACCCTAAACCCTTGCCATGGTTCCTAAGGTTAACTAGTTGTTTTGACATGGTATTCAGAGCAGGCTCTTTCCTTAAGCCTTCCTCAATGGGCCCACCGTTCGCTTCCGCTGCTGTTCTTTCAGTCGCGCGCCCCGGGCGCGTGGCGGTTTTCTGCCCGCTGGGCGCCCCGGGCGCGCGGCGGTTTTCTGCCCATCGCGCGCCCCGAGTGCGAGACGGTTTGCTTGCACTTATGCGCCGCCCCGTGGCACCCGCGTGCCGCCCCGCTGCACCCGCCCGCCGCCCCATGCACCAGCGCGCCGCCCCGTGCACCCGCGCGCCGCCCCTCTGTAGCCGCGGGGCAGCTTCTTCCCCGCCCCGCCCCCACCCCCCCCCCCTCCCCCTTCTCCTTCCTCTCCCTGCCGCGTGTGCAGCCGTGGGGGGGAGGGTATGGGGGTGGCGCGTATGGGGGTGGCGGGTGTGAGTAATCTGCTGCTCCTCACTCCTCTCTCTCCCACTGCTGCAGCTGCCGCTGAGGGGGGGAGGGTGTGGGGGAGCCGAGGGAGTGGCGCTAGGGATGCAGAAGGGGGTGTGGAAAGGGGGTGTGGGACAATGGGGAGAGGTTGAAAGGAGGTAGCTGCCATGAAGCCAGCAGCTCCAGTAGTCCGGATGCCGTTGCTCCGGTAGCCCGTGAGCCCGTTGCTCCAATTGCCCGTGGGCCAGTTGCTCCAGCCGCTCGTCTAGTCGCGGAGCCAGTTACTCCAGTAGTCCGGATGCCCTTGCTCCGGTAGCCTGTGTGCCAGTTGCTCCAGTCGTCCGTGTGCGAGTAGCTTCAGCTGCCGCCTCCTACCTCATCTCCTCTCATAGTCCCTCCTCCTCCTCACTTGCCCTCTCCTTCTGTTGTGCTTGGTGTACCCCTTCAGGGGGTGTCTCTGCATTAGCTTCCTGCTGCAAGCAGTTTAGGGGGTGTGTTGAAATATATTTCTTATATACTGCTTGTAGTAGTAGTTAGGTTAGTGTTACATTGGTGGTGCACCTCATTCCCTTGTCCCTTGCACTATATCTTGTATCTTTGCTCATTAGTGAACCACCTCTCTCCTTTGCTAAACTCTCTCGATACGCATGCTCGTACCCGAAACCCTTGCCATGGTTCCTAAGATTAACTAGCTGTTTTGACATATACTTAATTCATTAGTGGTTTCTATCCACTTTTTGATGTGTTCTCTTGAACACAGTGTCGAAACATGGTCCAAATAGGTGGAATAAAGAGTGCTTTAAACCCAAACTTGATATGATATTCCAAAAGATGTGACTGCTATGTGTTATGGGTGCGATGTAACGGGGTAGCGAGGATTGCACTAAGGTGTCAAACGAGTACGAAGTATGAGCGAATGCATGAGCGAATATTTATACGAAAACATGCAATCGGTTACGCGGTGCGTGCGATCTAGCTAGTGCGATGCTGGCATCAAGGTTCGGGCTAGTCCCGATGCGTAGGCCGACACGGCCAGGCCAGCGGTGCACGGTTTGGTGAATAGTGCGCGCGAAGGTCGGTGAAGCCCCGTTAGTAGTAAAGGGCGAACAACGGCTGCTTCTGTATGCGGTGTTGAGGCATGCGGTAAGGAATGTCGAAAAAGTCCATGCAATTCAAAACGCATCTATGAGTTGATATCCCCAAAGCTTGAAACTAGATGTATAGGGTTGCTAAGCATCACAAGAAGGACGTGTACAGCCGTAACATCCAAACCTCCTACTTGGAGGAGATGGCCTCGCTTGGCCGTCGCGAACCTTCGGCAAGCGATGGTTCGTGGCGCTCGTTGATGCCTCGCCAAACCTGAGTTGCTCAACGGTTCTCCACACCACCGCGAGATTCTTGTCCGGGGCTTCCGCCATGCCACCACAACCACACCCTAGGAGCAGGAATCCGACGGTAGGTTGCGTGGGCAAGGGGAAAGGCGGAACCAGTTCCCCCTGCTATGTGGTTTGCTTTGCTTGCTGGAATTCCCCAACAGACCTCAACAAGCAAGAAAGGCAAGAGGTGAGCAGGCAGATGGAACCCTAACTTGAGACAACCCTAGCTAGTCTCCTGACAGAGAAGCAGCAGGATTCGAGTTGAAAACGGAATTCTCCGTTGCTGCTGCTCACTGGCTTGCCACATCCACGAGACTATCCTCTCGTAGCTCCATCCTACTGCACTCACCATTGGCTCGCGCACGTGTTCTCGCTGTCGGCGTAGAGCATGTCGACGCCGTCGCGGAAGCGGTTGATGCGCGATTTCCGCCGGCTGCAGAATGATCCCCCAGGGGGAATTATTGGTGCTCCGCAAGACAACAATATCATGCTGTGGACGGCGATGATATTCGGGTGCGTTATGGGACGGGTTCCACAGGACGAACGGCATAACTAAGAAGGCCAATAAGTTCTCGACCTGATTCGTTCTAGGATTTTTCCGTTTCAAGATCTGGGTCAAGTATTTCCACTTTATGCAGCTTCCCTTGTTGATTCATTAGTCCCGTTCACCCTTTGATTTGTATGCATTCGTTCTATGTGGTTGATTTACATTCCCCTTCTTTTCTTTTTGCTCCTCACACCACACACTGTGCTGGGATTGATATGTGTGCCGTGTGTATGGCGTGGGAAATTGATGGCCCCCTTTGCCTATTTCGGTTGCTCTCGGCATGCTGTGGCGGCCTGTCGTTGCTTGGGACGCGGAGGGCGCCGGGCCTTGTCGCTGCAGGCCGGACGATACACCGTGGGACGGAGGTACGCATTCTCATCCTTTGCCGTTCTGGTATGGTTGAGGGGATTTGTTTGTGTTCTTAGGCAGACGCCAGCGTGGCGTCATCCTGATCAGGCGCCGTTGTCGTCCTTATGTGGATCGCCCTCTCGCCCTGCCACGTACATGGCTGTTCGCGTCTTGTTGGCTCGGACTCTGTTCCGATCGCGTTCTATCAGTACGAAACCTCCGACGGCGTTGTTTGACGAACCTCGTTTGTCCTCCAAACGATTGCGGTTTGGAAGCCGAATATGTGATTGCACTCTGTTGAAATTTCCGCTGCCCCCGGGGTATAGCGGATCTTGATGCATGGGCCCTGGCCCCGGTGCTCCGCTCCCCGTCCTCCGACCTCACTCGCGTAGTCCCCACCCACCACGCCGAGGTGTCCGTGGCGTGGCACCCAGTGCCTTGAGGCTTGACGTGTTGGTTGGCTTGCCCGCTGTAGGCTGCAAGCTCAGCAGGGGACTTCGTTGGAAGCCATGTGTGCACGCAGGATGGGCGTATTAGAGAGCGCGCGTAAAGGGAGGGTGTGGGTGTGTTTAGTATGTGGTCCTTCATGGCGTGGACCGCATTATCTCCTTCGTTGTTCGTCTCTATCTACCGCCTCATCGCCACTGTTCTTTACCTCCACCTCTTGCTTTTTGTACAAGTAAACAGGCATCTTGTAGTTGTCCCGTTTTATGGAACCTCAGCGCACAAGGTGAATAAGTGCCGCCTTGGACCTCGCGCCCCCTGCAGGCACGTTCAAACTGACGCTTCAGTTCTCCGAGGACTACCCCAATAAGCCCCCTGTTGTGCGGTTCGTCACCAAGATGTTTCATCCCAATGGTTCGCCACACATTCCGCCTTCCCTCTCGCGGCCCCACCCATCTCCCCTCTGTCCCTCCCTCCCTCCTATCTCTCTCTCTCTCTCTCTCTCTCTCTCTCTCTCTCTCTCTCTCTCTCTCTCTCTCCCCCTCTCTCTCTCTCTCCCTCTCCCTCTCTCTCTCTCTCTCTCTCTCTCTCTCTCTCTCCCGCCCCCCCTCCCTCTCCCTCCCGCCCCTCTCCCTCTCCCTCTCTCTCTCCCTCTCCCGCTCCCTCTCCCTATCCCTCCCCCTCCCCCTCCCCCTCCCCCTCCCCCTCCCCCTCCCACTTCCGCTCCCCTTCCGCTCTCCCTCTCCCTTTCTCCCCCTCCCCCTTCCCCTCCCCCTTCCGCTCTCCCTCTCCCTCTCCCTCCCCTTCCCCTCCCCCCTCTCACTCCCCTTCCCCTTCTTCTCCCTCCCTCCCCCCCCTCCCTCTCCTCCCCACGCTCCCCCTTACCCTCCCTCTCTTCCTCCCCCTCCCCCTCCCGCCCCCCCCCCCCCCTCTCTCTCTCTCTCTCTCTCTCTCTCTCTCCCTCTCTCTAATGGTCCTTCTATTGATTTAGGAAAGGTACAAACATGCAAAATATGCTTTCTAGGACTAGGAATAGCAAGCAAAGTATGCTCTCTCTCTCTCTCTCTCTCTCTCTCTCTCTCTCTCTCTCTCTCTCTCTCTCTCTCTCGCTCTCTCGCTCTCTCTCCCGCTCTTTCTCTCTCTCCCTGTTCCGTTCTTCCCTATTCTTGCTCCATTTAGTATTAGTCTCGCCACCTGCGATTGTTATTGATTTACTGCGCACCTCTCGTCTCTATGCTGTCGTATGCCCTTGTTTCTAGTGCAGTGTATGCGGATGGAAGCATTTGTTTGGACATTTTGCAAAACCATTGGAGTCCAATTTACGACGTTGGAGCAATTCTGACTTCCATTCAGGTATATGGTGCCCCATTAGTGTTTTGCATGTTCATGACTCTCGTGTTTGTGACATGCATTAATAACGATTTTCATTATTTTCTTTTGGGTGGCAAATTCTTGGAACGGGCATTGTCATTCCAATAACATGCTACATTGCAAACTGGTCTTCTAATTTCTGGCTGTCATCCTGTAGGGAGGCATTTATTTTCTGTTCTTGTACGTGTAAGCTTTTTTTTTTCTACATCATGTGAGTTGCTGAGGCCCATTGCATGGCTGGCGAATTATACAGACCTGTCTGTGCAAGTGGGAGAGCTGTCCATTGACTTCTTTCCTTTCTGCTCCTTTGCTGTTCACCCTCTTAGCTGTGCTTGTTTGGTGATAACCCTTTCATTCATTCTCTCTCTCTCTCTCTCTCTCTCTCTCTCTCTCTCTCTCTCTCTCTCTCTCTCTGTCTCTCTCTCTTTCTCTCTCTCTCTCTGTGTCTCTCTCTCTCTCTCTCACTTACTCACCCACTCACTCTCCTCCCCTGCTCTCCTGCTCCCCGTCTCTCTCTCTCCTCCCCTTCTGTTTCTTGTGCCCTCTCTCCATCTCCACCCTGTTCCCCTCACCCCCTTCCTCACCCTCATGCTTAGTCCTGCGCTTGCATAACCCAACCTTCTTTTGCGTACCCTCAACCTCTTGACATTTTCATGTCTCCCACCTTACCCTCAACCTCTTAACATTTTTATGTCTCCCACCTTATTCACTCTGCATTCTTTTGTTTACATCCTCTGCCCCGTTTGTGCTGCAGTCTCTTCTGTGTGATCCGAATCCCAATTCTCCTGCCAATTCAGAGGCGGCTCGTCTGTACAGTGAAAATCGGCGTGAGTACATTCGGCGGGTTAGAGAGGTTGTGGAGCAGAGCTGGACAGCGGATGTGGGCGAGTGATGGCAGTTGGGGCCGAGCTGTATTTACAGGCACAGCACTTCTGCTATTTCGGTCTCCTGGCCATGTAGACGTGGTCAGGATTGCTGCTTGTGTAGGCTTGTGAGAAATTACCTAGCTTAGTATTGGTTCTTTCGGGGTTAACAGTTAGTGTACACCGTAGTGCTCATAGCCAGTCTGCAGGGGACCTATGTGACTATATGATGCAGCATTTGATGAGCTGACAGAAGCTACGTTTTCAACTGGCGGACGTGTATGGTATGGCTGGCTGTTTATACTGTTTTGCTGTTTATGGATCATATCCCTAATCCCCCCGATGACATCCACTACCCGTCAGCTCTTGGAGAGAGCAGGTGTTCTACTGCAGCACTCCGAAGTTTAGAGTTTGAATGGATCTTTGTTGACAAAATGGTAAAACTGAAATCTCAGACCAATCAGACTGGTACCATATTGTCAGCCTTGGTTTTGGCATTGGGGGGTGTCTCCAAAGAAGGGTGTTAGGCGCTAGGGTTGTTATTATGGTACCTTTTTCCCAACTTTTCACTAACACTTGGGGAACACAATTGAAGTTCCAGCAGCTCGTGCTTCAAGACTGGTAAGGTCTATCCATGCGATCCAAAATTTGGGCTGCGGGCGGGCTCTAACAAATACATTCTGCATGCATGAAGACACCATAGTTCAAGTGGTGATGGAATGCCCCCCATTAGACTTTGAATGCTCTCAATCTGCACCATCCGAGCTACTAAGACTGATGCTGCAGGATGCTGCCTGACTGGATGTTGTGGCAACATGCCTGCGTACACATAGCGTAACTTTGATATGGCGGAGCAAGGTTGGTGGAAGTGGGAGTCAACGATGACTATATTTTGGATGTGCGAAAGAACAATGAAGGACTGGCGAAACATTTTCAGCAAAAAGTGCTAGTAAGCGTCAGAAAAGGAGAAAGGAAACAAGAAATGGGGGGACAAGGTGAATAAGAAAACGTGTCCCTTACTATTCCACACGTTGCTTCTCAAGTGGGCCTGTGAGCATGGGGATGCCCGCGATATCGGCGTTGGAGTACAGCAGGTAGCCGTAGCCGCCGCCAAACACCAGGATGGACGACAGTAGCACGGCGAACCAGAGCGGCCCACCAAACGACCGAGCCATGGCGCCCGACACCGCCGTCACGACCTCGTTGTCGGACCCGGAAGGCTTCGACCCTTCTCTGGCCTCATCCTCAGCTGCCTGATCTAGCCCTTCGCGCTCCTCCCTTCGCGCTTCGCATGCCACGCGAAGGGTGTGGATGGAAGGTAAATAACGGCCCAGAGGAACGTCAAGCGGACGACTGGGGACTGAAAAATGCGGATGATAGACGGCAAGGGGGGAAACGCGAGATAACGGGCTCGATGAAGCGCGGAGGGGAATAACTGGGGCAGAGAGCATCATGCGAGGAAGAGACGGGAGAAGAGCAGAAGACCCCATGCCTGAAATACAGCAGCTAGGGTATCACTCTCCAACCAGAGGACGCCTGCCAGAGAACGCACTTACGAGTTCCGGGACTGTAAGAACGCGCATGTGCCAATAGCGGGTATGAAGCACCAGCATCTATTCTGGGTTGACTAACTTGAAAAGTCCACCTTAGAGAACAAACAAAGATTGCACTATAAAACAAAAAAAAGCCATATTTTCCCGGATATAGAACCCTCCGGAAATAATCTCAGAAGTTGTATAATAAGGGGGGAGTAATACTTATAGTCTATGTTACGATAAATTATGTTGAAGTGCAGTGCATTCCTACTCGTAACAAAAAAAACTAGCACTATCGAGTACGAATGTGGACGATCAAAGTGACGCGAAAAGTCGCGTACAGTTGGGAGCATCTGGACCGTCAGCGGCTGGGCAGTCACATAGCCAAGGAATTGGCGGCAACGGGTTTGAAACCGGCCCCCGCGTCGCACGGTTGACTTTCGCTTAGGGCTGACTGTCAAACTGTATGTTTGTCTTATCTCTAGGCTATAGTGGGTTAGCCTACAAGGGGTACAACACTTTAGGGTTAGGTACTTGTACTCATGCATGCTACCTAGTCCACCATTCCTGCCTGCTTATTCTAACATGGTATTAGAGCAGAATCGTTCCTAGGGCCCAACGAACGTTCCGCCCCTGCAGCCGCGCTGCCCTTGCAGCCCGCGTGCTGCCCCTGCGACCGCGCTGCCCCTGCAGCCGTGCTCGCCCCTGCGACCGTGCTGCCCCTGCAGCCGTGCTCGCCCCTGCGACCGTGCTGCCCCTGCAGCCGTACTCGCCCCTGCGACCGTGCTGCCCCTGCAGCCGTGCCTGCCCCTGCGACCGTGCTGCCCCTGCAGCCGTGCCTGCCCCTGCGACCGTGCTGCCCCTGCAGCCGTGCCTGCCCCTGTGGCCCGCGTGCTGCCCCTGCAGCCCGCTAGTTCGCCCCTGCAGCCCATGGGCGCTGCCTCTGCAGCCCGCGCGCCGCCCTGCCGATCCGCGCGTCGCCCCTGCAGCCCGTGGGCGCTGCCCCTGCAGCCCGTGGGCACTGCCCCTGCAGCCCGTACGCCGCCCTGCAAAGCCGCGCGTCGCCCCTGCAGCCCGTACGCCGCCCTGCAGAGCCGCGGGTCGCCCCTGCAGCCCGTGGGCGCTGCCCGTGCAGCCCGCGCGCCGCCCTGCCAAGCCGCGCCTTGCCCCTGCAGCCCGTACGCTGCCCCGCAGAGCCGCGCGTCGCCCCTGCAGCCCGTACGCCGCCCTGCAGAGCCGCACGTCCCCCCTGCAGCCCGTGGGCGCTGCCCCTGCAGCCCGCGCGCCGCCCTGCCGAGCAGAGCGTCGCCTTGCAGCCTGGGCGCCGCCCTGCCGATCCGCGCGCCGCCCCTACAGCCCGCGCGCCGCCCCTACAGCCCGCGCGCCGCACTGCCGAGCTGCGCGTCGCCCCTGCAGCCCATGGGCGTTGCTCCTGCAGCCCGCGCGCCGCCCTGCCGAGCCGCGCGTCACCCCTGCAGCCCCGGCCGCGCGCAATCCTAAACCCTAAAAAAAAAAAAAAAAAAAAAAAAAAAACAAACTATTGCTGCTGCTGCTACTAGTGCTACTGCTGCTGCTGGTGGAGGTGCTGCTGGGAATGCTGGAGGTGCGGCCGCCCAGCCCCACTGAGCTGCCCTGTTGCTGCTACTACTTCTGCTGCTGCTACTCGTGCTACTGCTGCTGCTGGTGGAGGTGCTGCTGGGAGTACTGGAGGTGCTGCTGGTGCTGGAGGAGCTGGAGGTGCTGGACCTACTCCTGACCGTCGCTGTCTGTCATGGCCACTATCGCGGCAGTTGCTGCGGCCAGGGGTGGACAGCAGCGGGCACTGCCTCTCCCGGACGACCCCACCCCTCAGCAGCTTCGTGAGTGGGTTGTTCAGCGAGGCAGGCCTGGTGGTGGAGGTTATCGTTGTGTTAAGGCTGCTGCTCTTGGTGCTAGTGAGTCTACTGCCACTCCAGGTGCTAGTGAGTCTGCTGCCGCTCCAGGTGCTAGTGAGTCTGCTGCTGCTCTAGGTGCCCGTGAGTCTGTCGACGCTCTAGGTGCTAGTGCGTCTACTGCCACAGGTCCTGCCTCCGCTGAGGTCTTGCACACTTTCACACTTGACTCAGGCGCGTCACGTTGCTTCTTTCGTGATTGCACCACAGTCACACCACTCACAGCACCTGTCCCAGTCTCACTGGCTGACCCCTCTGGGGGCCCAGTAGTTGCGAGAGCCTCCACGGTCCTCCCTTGTCCAGCAGTCCCCTCCGGTTCTCTGTCAGGTCTCCACCTCCCCACGTTCTCGACGAACTTGGTGAGCAATGCTGCCATTCAGGATGTCTGGGTTGATACCTTTATTCCTGGAGGGCAGCGTGTGGCGATCTGTACGTGCTCCCGGACTGGCCGTCACCTGGCTACGTTCACTCGACAGCCTGGGTCTAGTATGTACACACTGACCACTGCGTCTGCACAGGTGGCTGAGGTCAGGTGGCTGCGTCGAGTCGGGCGTCTGCGTCGGGACAGTTAGCTGCGTCTTGCTCGTGCAGAGTACTCACGCACGAGACTCAGCGCTGGCACCACCGTCTTGGTCACCCCTCCCTGCCGCGTCTACGCAGTATGCACTCCCGTCTCCTTGTCTCTGGCCTCCCCAGGACCCTGCCCCCCCTGCCGCGCTCGCTTGCCCCGCCGTGCCTTCCTTGCGTCGAGGGGCGGCAGCGCGCCGCTCCTCACTCCTCCGAGTTTCCTCCGACCACTGCTCCTCTGCAGACTCTCCACCTGGACGTGTGGGGCCCGGCCCCAGTCGGTGGAACGGACCAGGAGCGCTACTTCCTGCTGGTTGTTGACGACTACACACGCTACACCACCGTCTTCCCCTTGCAGCGCAAGGCGGACGTCAGCGGTGTTTTGATCCCCTGGATCCGTGCTACTCGTCTCCAGCTGCACGAGCGTTTTCAGCAGGACTTCCCAGTCCTGCGTCTGCACTCTGACAGGGGTGGTGAGTTCTCCTCTGGCGTCCTTGAGACGTTCTGTCAGGACGAGGGCATCGCCCAGTCGTTCACGCTTCCGGCCTCTCCGCAGCAAAATGGGATCGCTGAGCGTCGCATTGGCCTGATCATGGAGGTTGCTCGTACCTCCATGATCCATGCGGCTGCTCCCCATTTCCTGTGGCCGTTTGCGGTCCGATACGCCGCGCATCAGCTCAACCTCTGGCCCCGTGTCTCTGCTCCAGAGACCTCGCCCACACTCCGTTGGACTGGACAGCCTGGTGATGCGTCTTCCTTTTGGGTCTGGGGCGCGCTCTCCCTTGTTCGCGATACCAAAGCGAGCAAGCTCTCTCATCGCACTCTCCGCTGTGTTTTCCTGGGCTTCCCCACCGACGCTCCGCCCTGGCAGTTCTACCACCCTGCCTCGCGTCGTGTTCTGTCCTCTCAGGACGTCTCCTTCGACGAGTCGGTCTGTTACTACCGACTTCACCTGCACGCGTCCCACCCGGTCCCCCTCGCGCCTCTCTTCTTGGTACCAGTCCCCCCCCCCGGTAGACCCCCTTCCCCCACAGGGTCCTGCTCCCTCAGGTGTGTCTCAGGTAGACCGACCCCCCTTGGATGAGCCAGTGGAGATCTCTTCTGACTCCTCTGACCCAGCTGAGGGGAGTGACACCGCCGCCGACGACACGGCGACCACTCGCCGCACTCCTCGCTTGGAGACCCCCCCGGGTTTCCCGCCTCGGCCGTCTTCGCCACCTCCGCAGCCTGCTGCTGTGGACTCTGGAGCTGAGGCTGCTGGAGCTGGGCCTGGGGGTGGTACGTCTGGGGGTGTCCGCTCTCCTCGTTTGGCTACCCCCCCCCTGTTTCCCGCCTCTGCAGCCTTCTGTAGTGAACACTGGAGCTGAGACTGAGGGTGCAGGGACTGAGGGTACTGAGCCTGCGGGTGCTGGGACTGAGGGTACTGAGCCTGCGGGTGCTGGGACTGAGGGCACTGAGCCTGCGGGTGCTGGGACTGAGGGTACTGAGCCTGAGGGTACTGAGCCTGGGGGTACTGAGACTTCGGGTGCTGACTCTGGGGGTGCTGCGAGTCCTTCTGGAGGTCGTGGAGCTGGAGGTACTGGAGCTACTAGGCCTGGAGGTACTACTGGAGGTACTAGAGGTACTACTGGTGCTGGAGGCACTGGAGCTGCTGCTGGTGCTGGAGGTGCTGGAGCTGGAGGTACTAGAGGTGCTTCTGGTACTGGAGGTGCTCGAGCTACCACTACTGGAGGTACTGGAGCTGGACAGCCACCGCAGACTGCTCTACTTGAGACGCTCTCGCCGCAGGCGATTCGTGCGTGGGTCGTTCGGCGAGGCAATCCTGGTGGTGGAGGGTACGGTTCTGCTGGTGCTGGGGCTACTAGCCCAGGAGGTACTGGAGGTGCTGCCGGTGCTGGAGGTACTGGAGCTGGAGGTACTGGAGCTGCTGGTGCTGGAGGTACTACTGTTACTGGAGGTGCTGGGGGTACTGGAGCTGCTGGCACTGGAGGTGCTGGTGCTACTGGTGCTGGAGCTGCGGGAGCTGCTGACCCTGGAGGTGCTGGGGCTGCTGGTGCTGGAGGCGTTGGAGCAGGTGGTGCTGCTGGTGCTGGAGGTGCTGGAGGTGCTACTGGTGCTGCTGGCATGGGAGGTACTGGAGGTACTACTGGTGCTGGAGGCGCTGGAGCTGGAGCTGGAGGCACTGGAGGTACTGGAGGTACTACTGGTGCTCGAGGTGCTGGCGCTGTCGGAGCTCGTGGTACTGGAGGTGCTGGTGCTACTGGTGCTGGAGGTGTTGCTGGGGGTACTGGAGGAGCTGCTCGTGCTGGAGGTACGGGAGCTACTGGTGCTCTTTGCCACCTTCTCAGTCTTCCGCCAGGTGCTACTGACTTCCCTGTGGCAGGTACTACTCCTCAGTTACTGTTTCCACCGCCACTGCTACCGCACTCCCCACTGCCTGCTCCTGCTCCTTACACTGCGGTGACACAGTCCCTGACTGAGCGTCGAGAGCCTGAGACTCGTGCTTCCACCCCTGAGCGTCGAGAGCCGGAGTCTAGCTTTGACCTTGAG